CATAACAAACTGTGGGGGCTCGTCCGGGATCTCTCCTCTTCAGTCGTTGAGGGGCAGATCCAGTGATACCAGAACCACCAGACAGCAGTGAGTAAGGTGTTGCTTCAGCCAAGCCAGCCAGTGGGCGTCCACAGAGGAAGATCAAGGGGAAAAGGATCTCTGCCTCATCAGGGAGCTGCACTGCTGCAACGGAAAGACGACACACGCTAGTCACTGCAGAGCTACATCGCCAGAGGATACAAACATGTCGGTCGCACGGAAGGAGCTCGCATGGAGCATCAGGGGGCGCCTTTTCACCCTGTCAAGCACCCAACTCTTCGAGCTAGCAAAGAGCCTCGCTGCTGACGGCGGAGACACAGCACGGTTTAGGCAGGATGAGAAAGAGAGCTGCATGAACTACGTCACCTCCTACATCCAGTCAGAGACTCTCCTAGGACTGAAAATCCCCACCACTTTTCCCCTGTCCTATCAGTCCAAGCTCCCTCTCACGCTCATCCACAACCTCCTCCACTGCCACGACCTGGTGACTTTCGCCAGTCTTCAGCAAACCGACCCACAATCCCCTCCAGGAGAACCGCCCTTTGCCCAAAGTGCACTGAACAAAACTTACAGGACTGCAGTCATTGCTTTGTGTGTGGTGAAGCAGGACACAGAGCAGTTGGGTGTCTGAAGCGGACCAAGTTTCAGGGAAACTGGGATCAGTCTCTGCCAAGGGACAGCCAGAGACCGAGACAGAGCCCCAGTCCCAGCCAGTAAAGTCCACCACTGCCAGACTTGTCAGGCCACCCACCATACAGCGCAGTAAACAGACTAGGAAACAAGCCAAACACAAGACAAGCAAATTGCGTGCATTCTCCCATCAAAGCACTACAAGCAGCAAAGTTCCCCTAGTTGGTAAGAAAAGTCTCCTGAAATGTTTGATTAATGGTTATCCAGTGACAGTACTATTCGACTCTGGTTCACAAGTGAGCATAGTAGACAGGCAGTGGGCCAAGACACACATTCCAAGCTATCCAGTGAGACCGCTGCAGGAGCTTTTAAACGATGGACTAGAAGTCTATGCAGTTAACGGCCAGGCCGTCCCCTATGACGGGTGGGTTGAACTCACAGTCACTCTCAGCGGTCACGAAGATCCAAACCTCACTGTACAGGCTCCCTTCCTGGTCAGTAAGTTGTCACTTCCCCAGCCACTAGTTGGAGCTAATGTGTTGGGAGCAATTATCCAAAACCAAGAATCGGATGAAGTTGCTAATGCCACATTGCTTAGCCTCCTGCGCAGAGCTTTTGGTATGGATGAAGAGCAAGTTGTAGCCATGGTTAACTTTATTCAAGTGCCACAAAGTTATGACTGTGACCCAGCCCCGGTAAGAGTTGGCAAGAACAATGTTAGTATTCCAGCTGGTAAAGCAGTAGAAGTTTGGTGCAGGGTACCCCAGAACTTTGATATCGCTGACCCACTTGTGCTTTATGAACCCGAAGAGGAGAATATTGCCTTAAGACATCTGAGTGTTGGAGAAGGACTCTTAGAGATAAATAACACTCAAAGACCCTTTGTGAAGATCCCTATTTCCAACCACTCAAATCAGGAAATAATCCTGCCAAAAAGAACAACCCTAGGCACCATCCAGCATGTTGCTACAGTGATAGAACCAGACACAGCGGAGCTGTCCAAAACTCAAACTATGCCAGTCACGGTAACAGCCACGGAGGTGAACCAGGCCACCCCTCCTCATGTCCCCTCTACTGACCCCTGGTTACCACCAGTCGATCTTAGTCACCTGAGTCCAGACCAGCAACAGGCGGTAGAAAAGGTACTGAAGGAAGAGTGTGAGGCGTTCTCCCGTAGCAGTAGTGACATAGGTTGTATCCCCTCGCTACAGATGGAAATAAGACTGAAAGATGACACACCAGTCCAAAGGGCCTATGCCTCCATCCCAAAGCCTCTTTACCGGGAGGTCAAAGAGTACATCCAAGAACTGCTAGTCAAAGGATGGATTATAAAATCACAATCGCCTTATGCAGCCCCTGTCATCTGTGTAAGAAAGAAGGATGGAACTTTGCGGTTGTGCATCGATTATCGCCTTCTTAACCACAAAACAGTGCCAGATCGCCATCCGCTTCCCCGAATCCAGGACCTCACAGACTCGCTGGGAGGCTACAGCTGGTTTTCAATACTGGATCAGGGTAAAGCGTACCATCAGGGTTTCATCGCAGAAGGATCAAGGTACCTGACTGCATTCACGACGCCGTGGAGTCTCTACGAGTGGGTAAGAATACCCTTCGGGCTGTCGAATGCACCAGCAGCCTTTCAACGGAGCATGGAGGAGATGCTTGACACACTCCGTGATGAATGTTGCATCCCTTACCTCGATGATGTCCTATGCTTCTCCAAGTCGTTTGATGAACACGTCCAAGTGCTGCGTAAAGTGTTGCAAGCTTTACAGCGTCACGGTGTAAAACTGAAGCCTGAGAAATGTGAGTTGTTTCGCAAAGAAGTCCGATACGTTGGGCGCTTGGTGTCCGCCGATGGTGTGAAAGTGGGCCCCAAAGACATTGAGGCAGTGCAGGCGCTCAAACACAAAAGACCACAAACAGTTGGGGAAGTCCGACAACTGTTGGGATTCTTGAGCTACTATCGGACGTACGTGCAGGACTTCTCAAGTATTGCCAAACCCCTGTACGACCTGCTGCAAGTCAGGTCTGACACACCACAATCTAAACCAACCAGAGGCAGAACAAAGTACCCTCAACTATCTTCTCGAGCTCCAGTACAATGGAACGAGGAACACCAAAAGGTACTTGAACAGTTAACTGATATGTTGACCCGACCACCAGTGTTAGCGTACCCAGACTTCACCCGCCCCTTCATACTCCACACGGATGCGTCTCAGAAAGGCCTTGGAGCAGTCCTTTATCAACAGCAGGACAACAAAATGCGAGTTATCGCACGCTAACTCAAGCTGAACAAAATTACCACTTGCACAGTGGCAAACTTAAGTTTCTAGCGCTCAAGTGGGCAGTCTGTGAAAAGTTCAAAGACTATCTCTTTTACGCCCCGCATTTCACCATTTTCACAGACAACAACCCCCTAACGTATGTCCTAAGCTCAGCTAAACTAAATGCAGTCGGACATCGTTGGGTGGGACAACTAGCAGATTTCCACTTCGACATAAAGTATCGTCCAGGAAAAGCCAACATTGATACGGATGTACTGTCCCGTTGTCCCCTTGACATCAATGCCTTCATGAAGGAGTGCTCAGAAGAACTCTCAGAGGAGGCGGTTGGTGCAGTTTGGGAAGGAAGCAGGAGAGCCAAGCAGGGAGATGTGCCTTGGGTAGCGGCTCTCAACTTAGCCTCACCCAGCCAGCCTCTCAAAGAACCCCTCCACACGATCAGCCATGATGAGCTTGTTCGAGAACAGCGAGCAGATCCTGCCATCAGGAAAGTCTTGGAGATGAAAGAGAACAACATTACGCCAAATGAAGACAACAGAGGTAAACTGGACACAAACACAAAGAGACTTTTAAGAGAGTGGAGTAGATTACACATAGACAATGACTTACTGTACAGGCAGACTATGGAACGCAAACAGCTAGTCCTACCAGCTACTTACCGGCAGACAGCTCTGACACACCTACATAACAACATGGGTCATGTTGGAGTAGAGAAAGTCCTCTGTCTAGCCCGAGAACGGTTCTACTGGCCTTTCATGAAGCGAGAGATAGAAGAATATGTTACCAGAAAGTGTCATTGTATCAAACAGAAAAAGCCAGCAACACACGAGAGAGCACCAATGGGAAGTATAACATCCAGTTCACCCCTTGAGCTTGTGTGTATAGACTTTTTGCATTTAGAGACATCCAAAGGGGGGTTTGAGTACATCCTGGTCGTGGTGGACCATTTTACCAGGTTTGCACAAGCCTACCCCACCAAGAACAAAGCCGCCAAAACAGCAGCAGACCGGCTTTTCAACGACTTCATTCCCAGGTTTGGATATCGCGCCAAACTCCATCACGATCAAGGCCACATTATTACAAATGCTTCGGACACTTGAAGAGAAGGAGAAGCAAAACTGGAAGGATCATTTGCCTCAGGTGATACATGCCTACAACTGCACCAAGCACGAGGCTACAGGCTTTTCCCCTTACTACCTGTTGTATGGCAGACACCCTCGTCTCCCAGTAGACCTTCTCTTTGGCCTGATGACAGAAGATAGAGCTGACACGCCACAAGGATATGCCAAAAAGTGGGCAGGAAAAATGACAGAGGCTTACAGAATAGCGAACGCAAACAGCCAACAGTCAAGCTCCAAAGGCAAAACGAACTATGACAAGAAATGCAAAGGAGTAACCCTACAGCCAGGAGACAGAGTGCTCATACGTAATCTGGGCGAAAGAGGAGGACCTGGTAAATTAAGATCCTACTGGGAACAGACAGTCTATGTGGTAAGAGAGCAGGTTGGAGACAATCCCATCTACAAAGTAAGTCCAGAGACCGGAAGTCGTCCCGTCCGCACTCTGCACAGAAACCTTCTATTACAAGTAAATGACTTACCAGTAGAAGTGGTCCCAAATCCGGTCACAAAGAAACAAAAAAGTAGCAAAGAGGCTACAAAAAGACCAGCTTCTCCTGAACAGACACTAAGCCCAGAAGCAAGTGACTCTGAAGATGATGTGCCTCGCTACTGGTTTCGTGTGCACAGACATCCACAAGTTGAGAGCCAGCATCCAGATCATAGAGGTCATATTGAGTCACAAAGTAGACCTGAACCTGACGAATTTGAGAGTGCCGCTGTTGTTCCTACTCTCACACTCTACATATATTTTGCAGAAATTCTCTTTGTTGACGTGGTCACCGTGCCAGCCGGGGCCCGTAACATTTGCCTCATGTCAGAACAAGAGAACATTCAGGAAAAATAGTAGCGTGGCATTTAAAAATAATTCACAGATACAACAACAACAACAACAACACATTTTAACAATTAATTCATATGTTTTGTGCTGTTATAAATAATCTTTCACTTTATTTTTATTATCTTGCCATTGTGCATGTATAGTATGTTTCAATTTCTAGTCAGCAAAGGAGAAATTGCATGTGAGAAGTTTACAAGACTTGATGTAAATGATGCATCTTGATTAAAGTGTACCTGGAAAAAAACAAACTTGCTTTTATTCAGGAGAAAAGGGTATTCTAACATGTCACAGTTGGGCATTCAAGCAGCTGTGAGAAATTCTTTGAAGTTGTCAAAATTTAAAAAACTAAATGGTTAAATTCCCTTTTGCTTTCATGGTTTGGGATCCTAGTATTGATTTTGATATTGTTATCATAAAGGTTAGTAACAGCTGCAATGACAAGTCAAAATGCAAAGACAAACATTAAAACTCAAACATGAACTTAAAATGACATTACTATAAAAAAATAAAGCCACACAATATTTTCTGTAGAAGACAAAAACACAGGAAGCACTTCTTTTCCAGATAAGTCACACATATGCATTGGTAGCTGTCGACCCGGTTGTGTCAGTGATGGCCGAGATGCTGCTGGCTCTGCTGTCACTGGTGGCCCTCGACTTTCTGCTCTGGCTAATCTCCGTGCGAGTCAGAGACGAGAGACTCTTTTTCCTTGGAACAGCTGTGTAGGCATCAGGGAACGGGTAGGCGGGGTATTTCTTTGAGCTGTGGGGTTTCAATTCAAGAAATGTACAGTTATATTCTTCTGTGGTAAGAGGGGGACAAATGTTTGAGTTAAAAAACAATGACACAGCAATGACATTTTACCTTGAGTGGCACCCTTCTCTCCCTGCAAAGATACTGTAAATAAGGCCTCCAACAACAAGTAAGGTGGAGCCTCCCCAGCCGATGAAGACACCAACGCCTATTTCAGATCTGGCAATAAATACGAGAATAATTCATGAAAGTGCAGTTCCTCCCTCACAGAATGTTGAGATGAATGCAGATGCCTAAAAAATGCCAGTTTGCTTGCTACTTAGTGCTTACTTCGTAGCTGTGAAGTGAGGATCTTGAAATTCTGCTCTAATTTTATTTCCGTAATAGGAGAAAGCAACCATAGAACACATGCCTGAAACAACACACACACACACATATTTGTTGAAAGATTATTCCTAAATTCTACTGCAATGTGATTTCTTTCAAACAACTCCCAGTCTTACCTCCTATAAGGTAGTTCATCCCTCCAGCAAAGGTCACTCTGGCGTTAGCTATTTCTGAACCTCCGAGCTTGGTGCACTTCATTCCCACCAAGACCAGAATTGATCCAAAGAAAGCCAAGATAATGCAGATGATGATGAGAGCTCGGCACATGTGAATGTCCCCTGTCCAAAAG